CTGAGCTAGGGGCTCCTGCGGGGAGTGAGCACGCCTTGCCCTCTGTGTGTTCCCCAGAACCGTCCAGTCCGTTATGAATGCCTGCATTTACTTGTGGAATGAATGTTGGCTAAATAGGTTTTTAAAAGCAAGTCTGACCATGAAGAGAGAGAAGAAAAAAAACACAAAACACCACAGAGTCCTTCCTTTAACAATGAAAGTGTGTTAAGTCATCAAGCCCGTTCCCACACCTTTTGGCTTTGGCTGCCAGTAGCTTTAAGGTCCTTCGGTGTCCAACTGCTACACCACCGTCCAGGAAGGCAGACCGGGAATGCCAGAGACACACTTCCGTGGTCGGCAAGGCTCAGGGGAGGCCCCAGCGTCTTGTCCTGGTTGCTGGGGAGGTTGCAATCCAGCCTCCGGCTCCCCAGGCCTTCCCAGGGCCTGGCCCCTCCAGGGTGGCCCTGCCCTGCTGCTGCCCTGCGCAGGGCTTGTGTCTGCTCCCCTCTTCCCGGAGCCCTCAAGTCTGTGAGCCCCGCGCGGGCAGGGACCCAGCTGTGCGGGTCCGAGGCAGCCATCGGTGGGGTGGGGGGAGGCCGCCGCTGTCTGGAAGCCAGGAAGCCTCGTCGGAGGAGGAAGCCGGCGGAGTTCTGGTATGGTTGCTGCAGCTGGTGTTGTGATCAGGCCGACGAGCAGCGCATCCTCTTACCCGCTATTTCACGACACCAGGGTTGCATCATACCCATCCTCTCCAGGGAGCCTCGTGGGACCAGCACCCGGACTGGGGATGGGGTGGGGTGGGGAGTCTGTATGAAAGAGTGTCCTTTTGGCGAGCAGGATCTCAGTCCTCCAGCTCCGCGGGGAGCTTTCCAAAATGCTGACGTGGCCCCTCCTCCACCCCGGGGGTCCATAGAAGCTCCCGTCGGGGCCCAGGAACCAGCATTTGTGGAGTTGCCCCATGAAGCTCAGATCCGTGTGCAGTCAGGGCTGAGCCCCAGGCTCCCCGACAAGGCTGCTGTCCTTGCTGCCTGTTGCCTCAGCCCCTCCGGCCCTCCCTGGCCAGTTCTGTCTGCCTCGCCCTGCTCACCACAGCACCACAGACCCCAGCAGCTTCCGTAAACAGAAGGGATCTCACACCCCAGGCCCAGGGCAGGCTCCTTGCCTCGGCATTCCTGGCCCTTCTCTCCAGGTCCCCCACCCAGAAATGAGACCATTGCCTCCCCTGTGATGTCCTCCCTGCTGCCTTGGTCTCCAGAGCCCCCGCCCTACACGAATCCATGGGCTGGCTCTGTGGGCTCCGCCTTCAGAAGACATCTCAACGCCACCCCACCGCTTCTCAGCGGCTGCCACCCACAGCTGCCCCCTGCCTGGCCCCGACTAGTCTTGCCTTGACCCTGCCTCCCTCAGTCCATTCCCCACACAGTGGCCAAAGGGATCTTTGAAAAATATAAATCTGACCATCACACAGAGAACATGGGACTTGTCACGCTGGCTGGAAGGCCCAGTGCTCCCCCTCCCATGTGTCAGACCCGTCTCCTCCATCCCTCTGCTCCAGCGACAGGAGCCCCACCACACCACACTCCTGTCCCCGGGCCTTTGCACAGGCCCTTTCTCTGTCCCGACCCCTGTGCTCAGACCTGCTTGCATGTGGGTGGCTTCTCATTGTTGGAGCTCAGCTCACATGTCTCATCTCAGAGGGGCCTGAATGCCCCTCCTCAAAAAACAAGCTGTTTTCTTCGTAGCACTTAACCGCTGACTGTATTACGATGATGGCTCCTTCATCTGCTGCCTGTGTCTCCCACTAGAATGTGAGCTCCAGGAGGGCAGGGCCTGCGTCTGGTCCCCCTAGTGCCTCTGCTGCCCAGCACAGGCTGTGCATGGTATGCAGTAAGCACTCAATAAATGTGTGTCAATGAAGAAACGATTGGACCCCTTTCAGCTTCATCTCCCACCCTGTGGTCCCTCCTCTCACCCCACCCACCTCTTCCCTGGCACTGACCACGCCTTTCCCGAACCCCGTGCCCCAGAATCCCCTCCATCGGTGCCCAGCCTCTCCCCTTCCAGCTCCCCTCTCTCTCCTGGGCGCTGCCCTCTCTGCCGGTTTGTGTGCCAGGCGAGGCTGTGCGTCCCAGGGCCTGGTACACAGGAGGGGCACAACCAAGGCTCAGGTGCCTCTGGGATGCTGGGATTCAGAGGGGGCAGCAGGGCCCCTGCCCTCACACTCCACACGCCAGAGCCCTGTGTCTAGGGTGTTCGCTTCTAGGGGTTTCCTGACTGGGAGGCTTTCCGGTTCCTTTGCTGCCCCTGTCCTCTGTCCTGAGAACCGGGAGGTGATGAAGGGACCCTCGCCGCTCGGCCAGGGACGGGGGACCCCTGGACAGGTGAGCCCTGGCTGACAGGTGTGGGTGGCATTTCCACGGCCCACTGGGGTCAGGTAAGACTGAGAACGGAGACGGAGCCTGAGACCCCCCACGGCCCTGTCACAGGGTTTGCTCAGCCAGGTGCATCGGTTCCGAGTCCCGGGTCTCAGACCTGCGGGCTCTGGGGGGCCCCTGGCAGCTGAGGTCCTGGGACTTGTGTCTGACCCAGCACTGTGTCCGCATCAAAAAGAGGGTCTGAAAAAAAGAAAAAAAGCCTGGCTTGTATGGCTCAGTGGTTGAGCATCAATCTATGAACCAGGTTTGATTCCCGGTCAGGGCACATGCCCGGGTTGCGAGCTCAATCCCCAGTGTGGGGCATGCAGGAGGCAGCCGCTCAATGATTCTCTCTCATCATTGATGTTTCTATCTCTCTCTCCCTCTCCCTTCCTCTCTGAAATCAATAAAAATAAAATTAAATTTAAAAAAGCGGGTCTGTGAGCAGGTCTCCAACGAATGAGATTACAGCACATGCAGGAACCCCCTTTCTTGGGGTCTGTGGTTTGGCATAAGGGGCTCTTACAGTCCCTTCGGCTCGTTCTGTGGAGAAGCCCTTGGAGGGGGCCTGCTTAGACCCTTCCCGCCCCAGTGGGTTGTGGAGGGGCAGGGAATGCTCCTCGAAGCAGCAAACGTTCCCCGCCTGGGCTCGAAGGGACCTTGGGGCCACCTGGCCTGGGCATTGCGGAGGGAGGAGGAGGTCACCGGAGTGACCCAGCAAATCTGCCCCTCACTCTGCCCACGGCCCCAGGGCTGCTGGAGACCTGCCTGCCCTTCCGGCCCCTCCTCTGCCGAGATCTCAATCGGGAATTTTCCACAGCTTCTGCAGGGACCAGGTGTGGGGGAATGGTGTAGGGCAGCTGCGAATTGCCAAGCAGGTGGCAGTTTAAGAGCAGAGCGAGGGGGTGATAAGATCTGCCCCGAGGCCCAGGGAGGGAATGAGTAACTGCCCCACCAGATGGGGTGGGGGTTGGAAGGTAGAACATTGACCATGATTGGGGTCCTGGCCCCAGTGGCTGCTGTCACGCGGTTGGGGACACGCTCCCGCAGGGGCCTCTCTGAGGAGGGGCTGGGACTTCTGGGAAGGGGGTAGGCAAGCTGGGGGGCGGGGGTGTCACGAAGAGGAGCCCCTGAGAAGTCTTTTTTAAAAATTAACACATAAGGTCAAGATACAAACTTTGCAAACAGTTTCACGGTGACCATATCCTGTGATCCTGAGCTCAGCCCCACGCCCGGCTGAACTGGGGTCCCCCACTGAGGAGCTGCCCCTTGCACTGACCCCCACTTGGGGTGATTCTGTCCGCCAAGGGCTCCTGTGGTGGCTGGCTGCTCTCTGCCCTCCGTGGCCTGGTCCCCTCTGTTATTCACTCCAACAGGCGTTTTCTGAGGACCTACTCAGTGCTCTTTAGTTGCTGGGGGTCATCCGTGAACGTGACAGGCCCAGATCTGTGCCCCCGAGGGCCGGCCTTCTAGCACGTTGGATGAAATGTCTGTCACCCTTCCCAGAAAAAGGCCCTTGGGTATAAAAAGGTGCCCACAATTTTGTGGGGCTCCTGGGCTCCAGTTTAAGCATCTCGCCTTGGAGGGTCACTCCCTAACACAGCTGCTGCTCTAACACACCTGCAGCTGCCACCAGCACCTGCCACCTGCACCTGTCCTGGCTCGCAGCTGGCACACCTGTCCTGGCCCTCTGGACCGGGAGCGAGGGGCGAAGGTGAGCCCGCCGGGCCCTCTGCAAGTCCTCAGTCCACAGTGCTCACTTGCTGCCGGAGACGTGGTGCCCCAGGGACTCTGGGCATCTCAGAGCTGGTCCTCTGGTGACCTCTGTGACCTCTGAGAACCCAGGTCTGAGAGGCAACGTTGGGAGGAAGAGAAAGGTGTCCCTCCATGTCCTTCCCAAGGATGGCCCGAGCCTGAGCCTAAGCCCAGCTCAGATGCCTGGGGCTGGTGGTGGCCTTGAGGCCCCTGTTCATCCCCTGACCCCGGTCCAGGGTGCTCTCTCCTGTGGCCGCCCTCCCCGCACAGCTCCCCTGGTCAGTTTCCATTCCCCCCGACTCAGTGGCGCCGTGAGCACAGGCACAGTGCCCGCCATCCACGTCCCCGGCTCCTGTCGCCACCCATGGCGGGGTGGGTGAGCTCTAAGGTTTGTTGGGAGAATGGCTGACGGGGAGATCCGTGCTTTTCTGTGAGCCTACAGGCCACCCAGGCCCAGGGAGCAAACGGACACAGGGGTGAGTGTCCAGGGCGTCCCCAGGGAGGGCTCTGGGGTCGGGATCTCAGGGAGAAGGGAAGGAAGCAGGTTCAACAGGGGCGGAGGGGGCTGCCGTGTAGACACAACGCCTCAGGTCGGCAGCTGGGAGCTGGGTGGGCCCTACCCGAGGGGGCGGGGCATCAGGCCTTTACACCCAGCCCTCGGGGCCCAGGCGGGGCCCTACCTCCGCGATCACGTGGTGGGCAGGCCTGAATGGGCACGTGCTCTGCCTCCCACCCAGTCCAGGGACCCTGCTCGCCTGCCCTGGGCGGTTTAGGCCAACCTCCCTGCCTCCCCCTGCTGCAGGCCCAGCCTATAAAGCCACCCTGCGTGTCCCCGCCGACCCTGGCCCCCGCCCCTGCCACCCAGAGCCACCATGGCCGAGCTGCCGGGGTCGGAGACGCCGGGGGACCCCACGCTGTGCAGTGGGCGCTTTACCATTAGCACGCTGTTGGGGAGCGACGAGTCCCCACCGCCGGCTGCCTACGACAGCAGCCACCCCAGCCACCTGACCCACGGCAGCACCTTGTACATGCGAACCTTTGGCTACAACACTATTGACGTGGTACCGGCCTACGAGCACTATGCCAACAGCGCCCTGCCCGGCCAGCCCCGCAAGGTCCGGCCCACACTGGCCGACCTGCACTCCTTCCTTAAGGTAAGCATCGTCTCAGAAGACTGGCCGCTTCCCTGCTGTGTGACCTGACCCAGTTACCTGCCCTCTCTGAGCCTCGGCTCTGTCACCTACGCCATGAGGATAAGTGTCTTCCTCGGGGGTCGAGAGGCCCAAACGAACAGTGGACATGGGAGTGGGAAGCTCTGGGTACATGTAATGTGAGTTGTTCAGTCATCGGCAACCCAGTTAAGCCAACGAGGGCTGCCTAGAGAGGTAACGAGCTCCCCGTCCGTGGAAGCATGCAAATAGAGGTTGCACACACCTGAAAGAGATGGAGAGAGGAGAGAAGGAAGGTCTGCAGCAGGGAAGAGCCTTGCTGGGTTTGCTGCCTGGGAGGCTGGGCTGTGGAGGGTGGAGGGCTGGGAGCCGCAATGCTGTGACCCCTGCCTGCCTGCCTCACCGTGGTCTCTGGGCTCCCAGCAGGAAGGCAGCCACCTGCAGGCCCTGGCCTTTGACAGCCGGCCCAGCCATGAGATGACGGACGGGCTGGTGGAGGAGGAGGCGGGCACCAGCGGCGAGAAGAGCCCGGGGGAGCCCGTGCGCTTTGGCTGGGTCAAGGGGGTGATGGTGAGTGGGCTGTAAACAGGATGTCCGGGAATGGGGGGGGGGGGGAGCCCGAGCTCCGCCCAGCCTCAGTCAGCTCTGACCCTCAGGCCTTAGCGTTCCGGGCCCATCCTGTGCCTCAGTTTCCCCATCTGCATCGTGACCTCACGTTTTCTCTGGTTTTGTGTTTCCTGACCTCCATTGACTCCCCAGAGGGCAGGGTGGTGTGGCAGACAAGCAGGGGACACTCCCAGACGGAGACCTGGCCCTGGGGCAGATCTCTTTTTGGCTAACTTGTCCTGTGACCTTGGACACGTTACTTAGCCTGTGTCTCAGTTTCCTTATTTGTGAAATAATTAGCATTAAACCAGTTAAGGCAGTGGTTCTCCACCTTCTGGCCCTTTAAATACAGTTCCTCATGTTGTGACCCAACCATAACATTATTTCCGTGGCTACTTCATCACTGTCATGTTGCTACTGTGATGAATTGTCATGTAAATATCTGATCTGCAGGATGGTCTGAGGCGACCCCTGTGAAAGGGTCGTTCGACCGCCAAAGGGGTGGCGACCCACAGGTTGAGAACCGCTGAGTTAATGGATGCGAAGTGTTTGGAGCCAGGCCTGCCGGGGAGATATTAGAAGAAATGGCATTTCCCCCAAAAGGCCACCAGAGGGCAGCACCGAACACACAAATCCACAAATGTGTTTTTCTCATTTTCCGTGATGGGAAGGGGGCAGGTTTGCTGAGGTGTAGCGCACCAGGAAGTCTCCAGACACCAAAGGATCAAGTGGACTTGGCTTTGGAAGACACTGTGGGACTATACGGAGGGGGTGGCATGAGATGTCAGAGAAAGCTTTATGCTGGGAGGCCGTGGGCCTGCTGCCAAGCTGCCCGCTGGCTGTGCCCCTTTCCTCCGTCGGACCCGTCAGCACCCCGAGAGGCGCATATGGAGATTCTGCATCTCCCTCCCGGACTGTGGAGTTGTGGACTGCAGAGCCCCACACGGCTCGGCCTGGCCCGGTCAGCAGCTCCGCAGCTCCGAGCGGATGGAGGGCCTTAGACCTCTCCCACATGCCCTTGTCCCAGCCCAAGACTTGGCTGGGGCAGTACTTTCCACTGGGAATATCAGCCTCAGCCAAGGCCTCTGGCTCTGTTTTAAATTTGAAAGCTGAAGTCACAGCCACCCGAGGCCTGATTTCTGCCTGTAGGTGGGGCATTGGCGCAGCTAGCGTTTGCTCATCTCCCCCTAAATGCCAGACCCTGCACCAACGGCTGGTCCTTGGGGCCAAGGCTGGCACTGCCAGACACAGGATCCCGGGCTTGGAGTAGGGGAGGGGTGGTGATGCTGGCGGCCCATCCTCAGGCCCCACTGAAGGGCAGGAAAGTGGGTGGGCAGCCCTTCCTCCCTGCCCCACAAAACCAGAAGGGCATTGAAGTGGGTAAAGCAAAGAAAGGACCCAGATGTCCCCTAGCCCAGGTGCCTGAGGCCATGCCATGACTGGGGACAGGGACTTGTGTATTTGGCCTTGGGGTCTCTCTGTCCCCTCCAACCCCCGCCCCCTGTGGCCTCTGACCCCTCTCTCCTCCCAGATCCGTTGCATGCTCAATATCTGGGGTGTGATCCTCTACCTGCGGCTCCCGTGGATTACGGCCCAGGCGGGCATTGGTGAGTGCTCTTGGAAGGGAGGGGAAGGTGTGGTTGAACGTGGGCTGCAGAGACCCTGGTCCCCTGCAGGGGCAGAGGGCAGGGTGGTGTGGCAGAGGAGCCGGGACACGGCGTCAGCAGGCCCCAGCGCTCTCCCCCTCAGCAAGTCCCTTAACCTCTTGGAGCCAATTTCTATACAGAACATCCAGGTTAGAGCTCAGACTCTGCACAGAACAGTGTTCAGATGCTAGCTCTGTGCCATGCTGTGTGACCTTGGACAAGTTTCTTAACATCTCTGAGCCTTGGTTTCCTCACCAGTAAAAGAGGGTAGTAACTGTCTCTACCTCACAGACCTGTTGTGGGGTTTCTATGATGCACGTGAACAGCACAGGACTGGGCACCCAGAGGTGCTCATCAAATGGTAACTCTCACCTTGTTTTTTTATCATTAAAGGAGGGTACCTTCCCTCCCATACCTAACGATCCTTTACATGTTGGCTCAGTAGCTCCCTGATAGACCAGGGAGGTAGGCAGAGACCCATTTTCCAGATGAGTAAACAGAGGCTCAGAGAAGGGCAGTGGTTGAAGTTACATGGTTTCTCACATGGCTCCTTTACCTGGGAAATGCCCCGACTGAGTTTTGGGGTGACCACGTCCCCGCCCGCCCCCCCTCCCCCCACAGTCCTGACCTGGATCATCATCCTGCTGTCGGTCACGGTGACCTCCATCACGGGCCTCTCCATCTCGGCCATCTCCACCAACGGCAAGGTCAAGTCAGGTGGGCCCCCACTCTTACCTTTCCCCACCCCCCTCCTCTTGTAGGTCCCCCAGTCTTCACCCTGGGAATGGTCTCTGAACCACTTCCCACCCCAACCCCAACTGGGGCACCCGAGGCTGCTCCTTCGGGCTCCAGGGGAGGGTTTGGGACAAGCTCTGCACACCCACAGGGTGGCTTGGGGTATTTCCTGCGCCGTGGTCCCCTGGAGCCCGTGGTCCCCTGGAGCCCGTGGTCCCCTCTCCCAGCCACCGCTTCTGCCACCCCAGCCAGCTCACTCCGCGGGGTTCATGGCTCCTGGCTCTGTCCCCCGTAGGTGGCACCTACTTCCTCATCTCCCGGAGCCTTGGCCCAGAGCTGGGGGGCTCCATCGGCCTCATTTTTGCCTTTGCCAACGCTGTGGGTGTGGCCATGCACACGGTGGGCTTCGCAGAGACCGTGCGGGACCTGATCCAGGTGAGGCCAGGGCTGAGCCCGGGCAGAGGGAGCCCACCGCCTCTCGGTCTCCTTCACCCCCTCTGGGCTGGGCCTTCCTCGGCCCAATCGGCCCATCAGGGATCAAGGCCCCGGTGTGATGGCTGTGGGTGACCATGACCAGCCCATCAAAGAAAGGCCATCCCCAGAAGTCCCCTTTGGGGCTGTGTGCTGCCTGGAGGGCCGCTTGCCCAGGCCCTCAGCAACTGTTCTGGGGGGTCTATTGGCAGGGAAGGTGTTTGGGTCTGTGTCGTCCTGGGAGAGGTCACCCTGAATGAGGTGATGCAGGTGGAGGAGTCTGGGTGGGGTGCTCAGAGGGCAGCACACAGCCGGCCTGTCCCCTCCCCCAGGAGTACGGCTCGCCCATCGTGGACCCCGTCAACGACATCCGGATCATCGGCGTGGTCACCGTCACCGTGCTGCTGGCCATCTCCCTGGCTGGCATGGAGTGGGAGTCCAAGGTGAGGACTGGATGCTGGAGAGGGGCCTGGGGGTGTCACGTGGGCATCATGGGAGCAGGGCACCAGTCCTGCTCCTGGTTCTGCCTCTTCTTCTTCTTCTTCTTTTTTTATTTTTTTATTTTATTTTTTAAAATATATTTTATTGATTTGTTACAGAGAGGAAGGGAGAGGGATAGAGAGTCAGAAACATCGATGAGTGAGAAACATCGATCAGCTGCCTCCTGCACACCCCGCACTGGGGATGTGCCTGCAACCAAGGCACATGCCCTTGGCCGGAATCGAACCCGGGACCCCTCAGTCCGCAGGCCGACGCTCTATCCACTGAGCCAAACCGGTTCGGGCTCTTCTTCTTTTTTAAAAAATAATATAAGTTTTTATTGATTTCAGAGAGAGGAAGGGAGGAGAGAGAGAGATGGAAACATCAATGATGCGAGACAATCATTGATGGGCTGCCTCCTGCACGATCGAGACTGTAACCCGGGCATTGCCCTTGACTGGGAATCGAACCATGACCTCCTGGCTCCTAGGTCGAGGCTCAACCACTGAGCCACACGCCTGGGCCTACCTCTTCTTATCTGTATTAGCAAGGCTTTAAGATCTGCCGCGGTGACAGAGACCCTACGGGGGGGGGCCTTGAACAAGAGGCGTTCATTTCTCTCTCTGCTAACAGCCCAGGTGTTTCCCTGCTTCCTGGGGCTCAGGAACCCAGACTCCTTCCCTCCTGTGGCCTCTCCACCCCTGGGGTGTGACCTTCATCCAGGGTCCATGAGGGCCACCACCACCACGCCCACTGTCCAGGCAGCAGGAAGGGAAATATCCCTTCCCCTCATATCCCACCGGCCAGAACTCGGACTCATGGCCGCCCCTGGCGGCAGGCGCTGGGGGCACGTGGTCTTCATTTAAACCCCTCTCCAGCCAGCAGAGGGTTAGCACTGGGAAATGGGGGAGGACAGATGTTGGGCGACAGCCGGCAGACCTGGCCAGACCTGGCCCCCACCTTCTCTCCTCTCTCCCCCTCGCTCTGACCTCCAGCTACACTGGCCTCCTCGCCGCCCCTTGAGTGCACCAAGCTTCGCCCCATCACCCTCTCCTCAGGACCCTCGAAGACCCCTTCCCAGGCCTCCCTGCTCAAGTAGCCCCCGACCCAGTCCCTGTCACAGCCCTGCTCTCACTCTAGATTCACATTCCCTCTCTCTCAGCAAGACAAGAGCCCTGCGAGAGCATCCAGTCCTGAAGAGAGCCTGCAGCGAGATGATGAATGAATGAATGTGTGAATGAATGAATGTGTGAATGAATGAGTGAATGAATGAGAGAGAGACAGAGACGGAGAGAGAGAGAACTTGAGCAGGCTCTTCCCTGCTGGGGTGCCCTCAAAAGGGGGGGCCAGGCCATCTGACCTCTTGGTCCTTTGCCCCCAGGCCCAGGTGCTCTTCTTCATGGTCATCATGGTCTCTTTTGCCAACTACTTGGTGGGGACGCTGATCCCCCCGTCTGAGGACAAGGCCTCCAGGGGCTTCTTCAGCTACCGGGGTACGTGCTGGTTGGGGCCCCTGCCCATGGGGACAGGGACAGGCTGCCCACCCGTCTGCCTGTTCTGTGGGCACCGGGAGGAGGGGATCCCCGACTCCACGGCCAGGAGCTGCCATCGGAATGCCCTCCCTTCCCGGCTGGGCCCCGTGAGGGGGCGGAGCCCTGACGCAGGCCCTGGCTTTCTAGGGGACATTTTTGTCCAGAACTTGGTGCCCGACTGGCGGGGCCCGGACGGCAGCTTCTTCGGGATGTTCTCCATCTTCTTCCCCTCGGCCACAGGCATCCTGGCGGGGGCCAACATCTCCGGGGACCTCAAGGTGAGCAGCCCACCCGCTCTCCCTCTTCCCGGCCCTGCCTCCCAGGGTCTCCCCCTGGGCACTAGGCTTGGCACCAGGGGCCGAACTTCTAAACTCCTGCCCAGTCCAACTTAACTCTCCAATCCAAGCCAATGCCACTCACTCCGCTCAGCTCTCAGGTTGTCGGTTGGCATCAGTGGCACCCTAGGCCTTGAGGGCCACCCCCAAATGGGCTAGTGTCCTCCCTCGCTCCTGGGAGTCAGCCTAAGGGGAAGACGGACCCGCTGACCTTCCACAACGCGGGCCGGATCCCGCAGCTCTTTGCTGGGCTGACATCCTCCCAGGGCCCTCGGCTGTCCTGATGCAGGCAGGCTCCTCAGCTCGGTGTTCAAGGTCAATGTCGCCACAGCCATGACCCCGCCCCAGCCCAGGATCTGCTGCTTTGCTGTGTTGCCCTGTCCCCTCTCTCCCCGCCTCGCCTTTGCCCCTCTCTCTGGGACTCCCTACCCTTGTTTCTTTACCTCACAAAGTCTGTTCCTCTTCCATTTTTTTAAAAAAATATTTTTATTGATTTCTGAGAGGAAGGGAGAGGGAGACATAGAAACATCAATGATGAGAGAGACGCATCGATTGGTTGCCTCCTGCACGCACACTGACCAGGGCCGGAGATCGAGCCGGTGACTGAGGTACGTGACCTTGACCACAATCGAACCCAGGACCCTCCAGTCCGCAGGCCGACGTTCTGTCCACTGAGCCAAACCAGCGAGGGCCAGTCTGTTCCTCTTTCAAATAACACCTCCATCCTTACCTCTGTCCCTGCCCCCGTCAGCATCGGGGCCCAGCGTAACGTCAGGGCTCTATTGTCCCTGGAGGACTGAGGCCTACATCTGCGTCTCTGTCCGGCTAACGGTCAGGCACATACAAGGGGCTCAGTACAGGTTTGTCGAGTGAATAGTGGTGAAACGTAGCAAATGAGAGGTGTGAGCGGATGTACCTGCTTCCTGCCGGTGCCTGTGGCTACAGCCGAACATAAAATGGACCGGCATGGAGCTGGTTGGAGGTTCTCTCCCCGCTTGGGGCTCCCGGGGCCCTGGATGAGGTCTCAGCCCTGCGACCTTGGTTGTGGCCTGTCCTGGAAGCCCCCAATTGCAAAGTCCCTTTTCCTCTGGGCCCCGTCCTGAGCCTCAGACTAGGGCAGGGGCTGGACTCGCTGATGCCGGCTCTGCCTCCCGCCCAGGACCCTGCCATCGCCATCCCCAAGGGGACACTCATGGCCATCTTCTGGACCACCGTCTCCTACCTGGCCATCTCGGCCACCATCGGTAAGTAGCGGCCAGAGCGCTGGGGTCGGGGGGAGCGGGGGGTCCCAGCGTGGGGTTCAGATCTCTAACGGAGAGCTGGGCCGGGAGGACTTTGCAACCCCCGGAAGTAGAGGCTTAGACCTTATTTTTATTTTATTTTATATTTATTTATCAATAATATATATATTATTGATTTCAGAGAGGAAGGGAGAGAGAGATAGAAACATCAATGATGAGAGAGAATCATGGATCGGCTGCCTCCTGCACGCCCCACACTTCGGATCCAGCCCACAACCTGGGCATGTGCCCTGACCGGGAATCGAACCATGATCTCCTGGTCCATAGGTCGACCCTCAACCACTGAGCCTCTCGGCCTGGAGTGGACCTTCTTTTGAGGGCACCTGGTGGAGACCAGAACATCTCCATGGGGGGAGGGTCAGACCAGGCCCTTCAGTTCCTTCAAGTCCGAGGTTACAGATCTCAGGGTGTGGAAACCATGTTCCGACGACAGGAATAACATCATGTTATCGGCGAGGAGACCGTTCCTGTCCTCATGAGGGAAAGATTTCAATCGAGAGACAAAGTGTAGGAGAGCAAGCGAGGAGGGATTGGCCGCAGCAAAGACAGCAAATGGTGGAGCCGGGCTCGGACCCAGCCCGAGCTGCGGTCACCTGCTTCTCCCCAAGATCCCCACGGGGGTTCCTGCTCCTTGTGAGGGAAGCTACTCACCGGTGACCGAGGGACGCGGGCCAGGTCAAGCCAGGCAGGTCCGAGGCCCGGGCCTCCGCTTTAAGGAGGACTTGGGACCTCAGAGAGGTCACCTGAGCGCGCTGTGCCTCTAGCGAGACAATAAAAGTACTAGCACACAGTAGGTGCTCCTGTGTGTTAGCTGGTATCAGTGTCTTTACTATCATTATCATTATTATTATTATTATTATTATTATTATGACATCATCATATCACATCAGCAGCCTCTCCCTCCCTGCAGAAGTGGCCGGCATTTTGGGGGTGGGACAGCGGAGAGCAGGGGAAGGGAGCAGACCTCCCCAGGCCCTCCCTCCTCCTCAGGCTCCTGCGTGGTTCGTGACGCCTCCGGGAACCTGAATGACACGGTGACCCCGGGCCTGGGCGCCTGCGAGGGGCTGGCCTGCGGCTACGGCTGGAACTTCACCGAGTGCGCCCAGCAGCACAACTGCCACTACGGCCTCATCAACTACTACCAGGTACCCGGGCCCCACGGGACACAGGGGTGCCGAGGACAGACATGGTTTGGGGGGCGGGGGCCCAGGCATGGGGGGAAGAGGTTTGGGCTCAGTCCCTGCCTGGGTGGACACTGGGATCCCGGGGGATGGTTGTGGACTCAGATGGAGGCGTCAGGACCCAGCGCTTGTGAGAAGAGGCGATGGGGTGCCCCAGGTGGGGGTTCCGGGCCCATCCCCCCACCATGCCTACCCTGAACCCCGTGTCCCTGCAGACTATGAGCATGGTATCTGGCTTCGCACCCCTGATCACAGCCGGCATCTTCGGGGCCACCCTCTCCTCTGCCCTGGCCTGCCTCGTCTCGGCCGCCAAAGTCTTCCAGGTGAGGCTGCGGAAGGGCGGTGGTCAGTACCCAGAAGCCAGGTCCGGAGGGAGCAAGCAGGACTGGGTCCAGGCGGCTGCAGGGGAGAGGCGGGAGAGGAAGGAAGGAGGGGTCCCGGCCACAGGCTGAGCGTGTGTCCTGTGCCCGCAGTGCCTGTGCGAGGACCAGCTGTACCCTCTGATCGGCTTCTTCGGCAAGGGCTACGGCAAGAACAAGGAGCCGATCCGCGGCTACCTGCTGGCCTACGCCATCGCCGTGGCCTTCATCATCATCGGTGAGCGGCTGCCGGGGTCCGGGGGCCCCGGGGCAGGGCTCCTTTCCCTGCTGCTCACCGTGTGCCCAGCGCCCAGCCGGCCTGGCAGGTGTCGGTGTAAGAAACAGGGGTGCATTGGCTGTGCCCTGAGGGGGCAGCCCACCCTGATTTGGATTTGATGTCCTTTTATCTGGGGGGTCTGAGAGGACCTCAGACTGAGGACATGAACTCAGACGCTCTGGGACAGGGCTGCTGTGGCCATTCGGTGGGGTCACGTGCAGACAGGGTGCTTGTCTTGTTTGGGGATCCCCAGAAGCAGGCCCCGAGACAAGGACTCGCATGCAGTGTGCCCGGGGATGCAGGGGGCGGTCCTTGAGCGGCTTCCACTGTAGGGGGACTGTGATACGGTCTCGGGGCTTCAGATCAAAGATGACGTGTGTCTTGGGTCACGCTGTGAAATGTATTTCTTTCCGTAATTTGTGGTCACACAACAGCGGTGACAGCCCCTGTCCTCGGTCACCCCATCTCGGGATGGGGTCTCCTCTCACGTCGCTCGCCATCTCCTGAAAAGCTGGCACTTGACAGTTTACAAAACATTGGCCCTTTGAGCTCCACCAAATGTGGGCCCATTCCACAGATGAGAAGGGGGAGACTCGCTGAGCCTCAGAGGCCTGTCCGGGCTGCCCCCCACGCTGAGGGTGGTGCCAGGTGGCCGCTTGGCAGAGTTGGCCAACAGGCCGTCCTCTCTCTCCCTGGGTCCCTGAAGCTGAGCTCAACACCATCGCCCCCATCATCTCCAACTTCTTCCTGTGCTCCTACGCCCTCATCAACTTCAGCTGCTTCCACGCCTCCATCACCAACTCACCCGGTGAGCAGCCCCTCACCCTCCGCGGAGGCAGCACTTGGGGCTCAGGGATGAAGCAGGGGTGGGGGTGATGGGAGGCATGGATGCAGGTGGGCAGACCAAGGTCACCACTCAAATCCAAACCAATGAAAAGCACCATTTAAATACTAGTAGCAGCCATCCTCTAGCAAGCCCTACAGTGTACACCGTCGTGGGTAAATGTACCGCTGATGGCGCAGAGGTTTTCCTAGGACCTTCCTCAGCCGGTCTTACCGGAGTCCGTGGTCTGACCCCCAGAAAAAGAAGAGAATTGGCCCAGGCCACAGACGGGGTTGCTGCAGGTTGCACAGCGCACACCTCCAGGGGCACCCCTCGCGGGTGTCAGAGATGTGAATGCTTATTATGAGCGTTTTCTGGCCGATGGCAGTAAAGAGTCTCCGGGAAGACTTTTGCTAATTGGCCCCCCATCGCCGATGCGCTGGTCGCCGGGCAGCCTTCTCTATACACCATGGGCCATGGTGCCCCAGCCTGGTGCCCGGGGCGGCTGTCGCTCGCGGTGGCCTGGATGGGCCACAGTGGGGAGCCGGGCAGAACACATCCTTGCCCTCCACCTCACCTCGGCTCGGCCCAGCCGTGGGAGCCGTGCTATTGCTGACGCTGACATCTTGTGGCTGCCTCCTCGGTGTCGCCTGCTGACGTGGCAGAACACCAGCCAACACCGGCGTGGGGTCCTCCCGGGCCCTCCAGGCCCAGCCCCAGGAGGCAGGGTGGGGGGTGGGCACAGGCTGGGGCCCAGGCTCTGGGCCCTTTGGCATTGCCACCCAGGCCTGCGCGGCAGCGCCGAGCGTGCCCGCTGACCTGCGTCCCCCTCAGGGTGGCGGCCCTCCTTCCGATACTACAGCAAGTGGGCGGCGCTGTTCGGGGCGGTCATCTCCGTGGTCATCATGTTCCTCCTCACCTGGTGGGCGGCCCTCATCGCCATCGGCGTGGTGCTCTTCCTCCTGCTCTACGTCGTCTACAAGAAGCCAGGTGCGCATGTCGGGCTGCGAGGGCCCGTGCCCCCCACTCCCCGAGGCCACCAAGCAGGCCGTCCGACCCCTCAGCCCAGCTAAGGGCCCTGCGTCGGGCTCCGGGCTCCCCGTGGCGGGAGGGGCCTAGGGGGATGTGCCCACTGAAAGCCCACACCTCACCTCTAGGCCCTCCCCTGGGCCCAGGACCCCGCCTGCCCAGGCCCGTCCTCCTGAGAGTGGGCCCTGGTGTACACACCTAGGCCTGAGGGTGGCCAAGGGCCGGCTGACGGTAGGGCAGGGGCACGGCGTGGCCCGTGTGCTGGGGTGTCTGCGTGCATGCAGGCAAGGATGCCGGGGTGACCGCCATCAGGGGGCGGGTGCAGAACTCCAGGGAAACCCAGAATTCGACATCTGAACGCGGCCTTCAGGCCACTGCCCAGGTCTGTTTGTCAAGGGAGGGGACCATTCGGCAGAGTTTAATATCTTGACGTACAACTTTTAAACAGGTAGCCGTACGGTATGTGCAAAGGTTAAGAACAGGTGCCAGGTGGCCTGCTCCCCTGGGTGCTGGGTCCTAAAGAATGCCACCCCCCCCTCCTGTGTCTGCCTTCTCCCCGTGGTTCTGATCTCACGTTCCCCCGCTCCCCCCAGAGGTGAACTGGGGCTCCTCCGTGCAGGCCGGCTCCTACAACATGGCCCTGAGCTACTCCGTGGGCCTCAACGAGGTGGAGGAGCACATCAAGAACTACCGGTGAGCACAGCGTCGGGCGCCCGGGGCCCGGGCCACCTGCCCTGCCTGGGAGGCTCCAGGCCGAGACCTGTCCGCTGACCAGGGCAGACCCAGGGTGGGCACAGCCCCCGCCAGGGAGGGAACAGAGGCGCCCCGCCTGGGGGTCAGGGGACGGGGTTGACATTGCCAACCAAGGGGACCAAGCACGAGGGGTGACCTTTCTGTATCTGAGAAGACGCTCTTGGCAGTGCGAAGGGCTCCATCAGGCCGACAGGTGGGGGAATGTCCACACAAGGACCCGAGAGGCTGGCTGAGAGCCTCTTCAAAGCTGGTTCCCTCCTCAGTGAGGTGCATCCTGCCCCCAGGCCCCCCTTCCCGACCCCCTTCCCGCCATATCGTCATGCTAACGATCGGCTCTATTTATGTGGCTTCGCTGCGCCAGTGCCCTACACCGTCCCACCACAGCCTCTGAGGCATATGAAATTACTAACCCCATTCACAGACGAGAGCGCTGAGGCACAGAGAGGTTAGGGAACTGGCCCCGGGTCACACAGCGGAGTGGCCAATTTTGTCTAACTGAGTCTGGTAGCGGCCCTTGACCATGACCCATGACCCTGGGCTGCCTCTAGACTCAGAGGCTGAGCCACTCACCCAGGTGATGACAGGGTGAGCTGGTACGTGACCGGCCCACCCCCCCCCACCCCCCCATCTTTATTCTCCCACCACCGTGCTGGGCTGGGCAGCAGTACCAGGGGGAGTGGTGAAAAGGGTGTTTGCCAAGTGGAGCTTTTGGGGGCCGGAGCAGGAAGGACAAAGGAGACCCCGTGTGGCGGCCACCGTGAAATCTGCCAGGGCCCGAGAGCCACCCTTGGGTCCCGGACGGGAAGATGAGGTCCCGTGTGCAGGGGCCTCCCGGAGGCCACACAGTGGTTCTAAGCAGGGAGGCCAGGAGGTGGTGGAAATCCGGGCCCCGGCGTTGGCACCCAGACCCCTGTGGGCTCTGTCCGGATGGCTCACCCCTTTCCCTTCCCCTCCTCAGCCCCCAGTGCCTGGTGCTCACGGGGCCCCCCAACTTCCGCCCGGCCCTGGTGGACTTTGTGGGCACCTTCACGCGGAACCTCAGCCTGATGATCTGCGGCCACGTGCTCATCGTGAGTGCCCCCCGGAGGTGGGGGGGGGTGGGGCAGTGCTCCTCGGGGGCCTGGGGCGAGATGTCCACCCCCGGACACCCCCTCCTCCTCCTCTCCCTCCCCTACGTCCAGCCCAGCGGGCAGCCTCCAGGGCGGAGAGGGGCTGAGTTTCAGGCCAGAGGCAAAGGCAATCCCTGATGCCACCTGCCCCCCCCCCCCCCCCCAGGGACCCCGCAAACAGAGGATGCCTGAGCTCCGGGCCATCGCCAACGGGCACACCAAGTGGCTGAACAAGAGGAAGATCAAGGCCTTCTACTCGGACGTCATCGCCGAGGACCTGCGCAGCGGGGTCCAAGTTCTCATGCAGGTGCGCGGGCTCGGGGTGACCCGGAAGGCAGGGCATCCTGGGGGCTGGCTGAGGACCCCGTGGCTGCAGCAGGAGCCCCACCTTCCTTGCCTCTCCACATAAGCCCCGTGGAATGCACAGGCCCCGGGAAATGGACTGGGAAGCCCATGGGGGCTGTGCCACCTTGGGATCCTCTTGAGTGTTTTTTTAAAGATATAATTTACCAACAAAGTGAAAAAAAAATGTTAAGCGTATAGTTTGATAAATGTTTTCATATGCAGACCTACTCAGTGGTAGGAAACCACCAGGCAGGTCAACTGGGCAAGTCGTTTTACTGCTCGGTTTTCTCATCTGTGAAATGGGCTGCATAGATACATGACAGGTGTTGATTCTGACTCAATGTATGGGCATCCCTTTTCATAGTTTTAAAGATTTCTCAAAATTAAAAAAAAAAAAAGAACATGTAGGGTCTCCTTTTGGGGTTATGCCACCCCTTTAAAATGATTAACTTTGTTATCTGAATTCTACCTCGAAATATTAAATAATATTTTAAACATTAAAAAGAAACAGAGAACTATCAAAGATGTATGGGTTAGATGACCCAGGAATATGCCAAGCTTGACACCCATGTTCAAGCCCCTTATTGAGAAATAATTCGAGGGAGAAACAGGCGCTGGGATAATCCAGGACAAATGGGACAGTCCAGGCGCCAGCCAGGCCTGGACAGGCCACAGGGGGTCTTTGCCTTTCTCATGGTGTGTCCAGGCCGACAGGATCCTGGACAAGGGCGTGTATTTCTTGGGTCCTTTGCCACGTGGGGGAGAGAGGGGCCGGGCCGAGAGCCCCACCCTAGTCACAGACCAGGGCCCCGGGGGTGTGAGGCCTGACTCCCACCTCGTCCCTCCCCGCCGCAGGCCGTGGGTCTGGGGAGGATGAAGCCCAACATCCTGGTGATCGGGTTCAAGACGAACTGGCAGTCGGCTCACCCGGCCACGGTGGAGGACTACATCGGCATCCTGCAGTGAGTGAGGGCTCTCGGGGGCGGGGCCTGGGGTCTGTCCACTTGGGCCCTTGGGGTCTCTGGGCCTTGGGAAGTGGAGGGGGAGCAGTGTTGACGTAAGACGCTGAGTCACTGGTTCAAAGCTGAGAAAGGGGCTAAGCGGGTAACACAGAGAGCAAAGTGGCCCAGGCATGGGGCTCCAGGGAGCAGTGGGGACTGTGGCTAACTGGAGACAGGCTCTCGGCTCCAGTCAGTTGTGCCAGGAAGAAACATGGGCCAGCATTGCCAGATCTTCCAGTTCTACAGAGAAGTTGAAGCTATGGGTGTTCAGGTGAAAACCTGTGCCCGCCTGTGGGCTGCAGGACAGATGCAGGTAGCCAGCGCGAGGAGCTGAGGTAGCACGTAGGAGCAGGCGGTGAAACCAGCCCTCTGTGGGGGCGACTGCATGGGGAATGGACCGGGGGTTAACTCCACACCCTTCCTCGTTTATCTCGAGGGAATGCTACAGGGGAATGTTACAGCAGGAGGTGGGGACACCTGCTCTCCGCTCCCCCAGCTCCCGCATCCCACAAGTCCAACCCCTGAAAGGTCCCTGTCCCAGAGACGTGTAATCAGAGGAGTCCAGAGAGGGCGGGGCTTAGCCTGTTAGATCAGCCTTAATGGGGGGCCCTCGGGCCCTGTGTCCACCTGCAGTGAGTGTACTCTGATACGTGATCCATATAGACAACCCCTTCTTCAGTGTGGGAGCGTGGGCGGGTTACTCCCCAAACTCGGCTTCTGGGCTGTGAAATGAGGTAATAATTCCCACCCACCCCCACCTCTGTTGCCAGAGTCGTGGGGATTATTGAAACGTATCAGGAGGACAGGGCCCGGCTCGAAGACTGGTCTGACTCTGTTTCCCCCTGAGTGCAGGGTCCTGGGATCCACAGTGCACCAACCGCAGAGCCAGAGGATCCTGGGGACCCTCTGTGCTGCCTGCACATTGCACAGATGGGGAGACTGAGGCCCAGAGAGGAGAAAGGGGATGGCGGGAGGCAGGTCAGCTCCAGACCTCCAGTTTTTGGGGGGCTGGCGGCCTGGGCTGCAGGAGCCTGACCCCACTTCCTCTTTTTCCAGCGACGCCTTTGATTTCAACTATGGAGTGTGCGTCATGAGGATGCGCGAGGGGCTCAACATCTCGGAGGTGATGCAGGCGCACAGTGAGTGCACGCCCCGCTGCTCGGCACCCCTGTCAAGATCCGCAACAGGATCCCAGAAAGTTCTAGAACCCAATTTTTTTTAAGTGGTCGTGGGACGAGAGGCGGAAATGAGTAAGGAATGAAGGCGACAGACTCCTAGAAAGTTGGCTTTTCATGGCCCCTTAGAGCTCATCAGGTTTCCAAATGGAGAAACTGAGGCCCAGGGAGGGGACGTGGTCCATTCAAGGTCACGCTTCCCGCTGGGGGCAGCCCAGGCCTCGGAGCTGCCGGAGCCCGGTCAGTGCTTTTGTGACCAGATTGGCTAAGAAGGACCCGGAAAGAGGGGAGAGGACCGCCCAGGGGAACACCCAACAGGAAAACACACAGGGGGCCAGGGGAACGGGACGTCTTGGTCTCCGAGACCATCCCCGGGTGCGGAGAGGGATGTGTTTATCGTGTAAAGTCACGTATGAATATGCGGACTCTGAGTTCATGCGAAATAAACAACACGCATGAAAATAAATGGGGGCTGTGGGCCGGGGGAACGGAGGGGGTGGCCGCCGTTTCTTTCAGGCAGGGCCGGGTCCTGTCACCGAGGCCAGGCCTGCCCGGCACGGGGCACGGGGCAGTCAGTGAACATTAACGCAGAGGGTCTTTGCGAGTGGCAGCCAGTCTCCTGACGATGCTGATCCAGGCGCTGGGGGTGCGGAGGGAGCTGCTGGGAGACGCAGGGGACCCACGTCAGACAGTGTCGGAGGGGCCAAGCAGCCTCTCTGAGCAGGGGGGCCCTGGGGGAAGGCGCTCCTGGTTCCGGGGCACCCACCACCAGGACTGCGGGGGCGGGGGGCGGGGGGAGCCCTGTCTGAGGGACGGAGCAAGCGGGTGGGGCTGGAGCGAGATCCGTGGAAGGTGGGGTGTCAGACTTGCTTCCTTGCAAAAGGGGGAGAAAGAACCGGGGGTCCCGGCCGAGAACAGTCTGGAACACAGCTGCTGTCCCTCTCTTGCAGTTAACCCCGTGTTTGACCCGGCCGAGGACGGCAAGGAAGCCAGCGCCAGCAGGGCCCGGCCGTCCGTCTCTGGCACACGTCAGTCCCCAGCCCGCTCAGGGCTCAGGGCTCTCCCCCTGTGTGGCAGCTAGTGGGGGCTGCGGGGGAGCTTGGTCAAGGGCAGGAGGCCCCTGGGATCTCTGGGGTCGGGTAACTGTGGGGGTGGGGTGGCTGGGGCAGCACTGATGACCGCAGACCTGACGGGGAATTCGGTGTCTGGGCATCTGGGCATCGTGGGAACCCACCCAGCAGGCTCTGGGGCCTGTGTCCCACCCCCCCAAGGCTCTCTGGCCATGCTCAACTGTCAGGGGAGGGGCAGGGTTCTCCTTCAGTTTCTCCCTACCCTCCTCCCTCCCCCCCTCCTCCCCCCGCTCCCGCCACGCTCTGGGAGGCAGAGGCACCCACAGTGCAGGAGCCAGGGCATCCTGTGGGCATCTGTGCGGGGCTGCTGGGGGTGCTCTGGGTCACCCCCTCCCCCAGGCATGCCCTCAGCAGGGTGCACAGCCCCGCAACAGCCAGTCCACCGCCCAGGGCAGCGGTCGCAGGCAGACTCGGGCGTGTGAATGAGCCGCCCCTGGGTGACCGCCCCTCCGCTCTGCTCCTCAGTGGACCCCGAGGCCCTGGTGCGGGAGGAGCAGGCCAGCACCATCTTCCAGTCGGAGCAGGGCAAGAAGACCATCGACATCTACTGGCTGTTCGACGACGGAGGTCAGCGCCCCTGCACACACACGTGCGCGCACACACACACACACACACACGCACGCACACACACGCACACACACGCGCACACACACACGCACGCACACACACACGCACGCACACACACACACGCACGCACACACACACGCGCACGCACGCACACACACGCACACACACGCGCGCGCGCACACACACGTGCTCTCCCCTGGCACACGTGCTCTCCCCGGCCGTCTTCCCTCCGTGGCCCTCTGTCTCTTGGCCCGCCCTTCCTGCCCGTTCTTGACATGGGCTCTGGTGGGACCTCAGAGCCCTGCAAAGGGGGAACCGGGGCCCCTGGGCCCACCCCTGGGCTTGGGGGAGCCTAGGCGGGCTCCTCTCTTGGTACCCAGCTTTTCAGCTGTCAAATGGGGACTTACAGGGAGGAGCCATGTCAACGTGAGCTGGAACCTTCAGACTCGATGGGCCTCAGGGTTGCAGCACACAACATACATGGGGAAGGGGGGCTGGTGCCTAGGAAGGCTCGGGAATATTGACTTCCCACAGAAATACGCTCGCGCCCATCTTTCTTAAAACCCATGACTCAGCTCTACCGGCCCAACCTCTGATGTTCCTGCTCTAATATGTTCTCTGAGTGACAGCCACCTTGACTGAGCACTTATGCTCAATGCAGCCCCCTGGTAGGAACTATTATTAACCCGCTTTACAAATAAAGAAAGGCCCAGAGTGGTGACATAATTTGTCCAAGGTTACGCAGCCACAAGTGACAGCCGGTCCTTGGCCTTGTGAGGAGAGATGACAGGGAGGGCTGAGGGCCCCCACCCGCTGGTCAAATGTTCAATCTTCAAGAAATGCCCGAGATCCTGATTTTAAGTGAAATCCCCCAATTATTACACGCCAGCTCGCTTATTTGAAAGCATGGTGCAGGCCAAATAAACCTGAGCCCACGGAGCCCTGTGTGCCACTCTGGTTTACTCCGGCATGCCCATTATACAGACGGGCAAACTGAGGTCTGGAGATGGGAATTGGTGAGAACCCAGAGAGAGCTCCACCCTGAGAGCATTTTCCTCTTGATTCCCGGGACCCTCCTTGCCAGGCCTCACCCTCCTCATCCCCTACCTCCTCGGCCGCAAGAAGAGATGGAGCAAATGCAGGATCCGAGTGTTCGTGGGCGGCCAGATCAACAGGATGGACGAGGAGAGGAAGGCGTAAGTGGGGAGCGGGCGGTGTCCCCTTGATAAGATGCAGATGCCCCAGTCCCGACCATGACAGGGAAGGATGTTATATTTTAAAATCACACATCTGCTCGGGGAGAAACCTGTGTGAAATGAAGGATGGAAAAGACCCCTCCTCCTGGGAAATGAGGCAGAGCTTAGAATTCACAGGGCCATGTCCCCGTCAGGCTTGGGTGGCCATCCCTGGTGAGACAAGAGGTGACTTTAAACCTATTTTTATTGACTTCAGAGAGGACGGGAGAGGGAGAGAGAGATAGTAACATCAACAATGAGAGAGAGCCATTGATCGGCTGCCTCCTGCACGCCCCACCCTGGGGATCGAGCCCACAACCCGGGCATGTGTCCTGACCGGGAATCAAACTGTGACCTCCTGGTTCATAGGTCCACGCTCAACCCCTGAGCCACCACGGCCAGGTCACGAGTGACAGCAGTGGCCAGGAGATGGGGCAGCAAATGCTATGGAATAAGCGACAGTTCTCCTCAACTTTGTGGCTGACGCTGCGGAAGGCTCTCTGCTGGGGACCCAGGCTTCCCTCCTACCTAAGGCAGCGAGGGTGGGCCTGGCTGGGGGCGTGGCCGGCGCCGGCATCCAGCCAGAATCTGGTGACGTTGGTTAATTTGCCTGGGTTTTATTGGTCACCTCTTTGATCAGATGTGTAGACACATAAAAAAGTGAGGTGTGAAGCCCAGAGCTGGTCACAGGTACTGGCCAATTACTTTTCCATGTCACTCGTCATCCGCTGACCTGCCTTATCAGAACGCATTTATCGTCTGCTCCCCTGCTCCCCGGCCAGGGTAGAATGTAAAGTCCACGAGGGCAGGATTTGCTTTGCTTTGCTCACTGCTGTGTCCTCAGCGGACGAGCAATAAAAATTTGGGGAATGAATAGATACATTGAAAAATATTTCTATATTATAAAAAAAAGATCTCCATCTTGCCCGGGCGTGGCTCAGTGGTTGAGCGTCGACCTATGAACCAGGAGGTCATGGTTCGATTCCCGGTCAGGGCGCATGCTGGGGTTGCCGGCCGCATCCCCAGCTGCGGGGCGTGCAGGAGGGAGACAGACAATGATTTTCTCTCGTCATGGATGTTTCTCTCTCTCCCTCTCCCTTCCTCTCTGAAATCAATAAAAAGAAATATTTTTTAAAAAAATCTCCACCTTCCAGGATCATTTCTCTTCTGAGCAAGTTCCGACTGGGATTCCAGGAAGTTCACATCCTTCCTGACATCAACCAGAAGCCGCGGGCTGAGCAGTGAGTCCTGTGGGGGCGGGGGTGGGGGTGGGGGTCCAGGCAGAAGGGTGGCTTGTGCCCTGTGACCCCTTTGCCGTCGCCCCTTTCCCTCTGGTGAGCCCAGGGCAGGGGCGCTGTCCTCCCGCCTAGACTGGGCTCATGGAACGAAAGAGGAGGGAGGGGGTTTGCAGGTGTTTAGTTTCCCGTTTGCGTTCCTTCCTCTGCATATCGGAGCTCTGGCCTTTGCCAGAAGCACACCTGGGCAGAGGAGACCTGGGCAGAGGCCGGCGAAAGCTGACGCTGGTGCTTTTCTCAGAGCAAGTGTTTTTTTGTGTTTTTTTTTGTTGTTGTTACTTCTCACCCGAGGATATTTTTCCACGGTTTTTAGAGAGAGTGGGAGAGAGAGGGAAAGACGGAGAGAAACATCGAAGTGAGAGAAGCACATCGACTGGTTGCCTCTTGGAGGTGCCCGACCAGGGCCCAGGTCAGGGTCAGGTGCCCTTTAAGCTCTTACTGGTGCGTGAAAACCAGGCCGTCTTACCCGGTGTCCCTGCTCGCCCTGTCCCAGCACCAAGCGCTTTGAGGACATGATTGCGCCCTTCCGCCTGAATGACGGCTTCAAGGACGAGGCCACCGTGGCCGAGATGCGGCGGGACTGCCCCTGGAAGATCTCGGATGAGGAGATGAACAAGAATAGAGTCAAGGTGCAGAGGGAGAAGGGCCTCGCTGGCGGGAGGGGTGTCAGGCATTTTCACGGGTCGGGACCCTGGGCCCATGCGTCCTGAGCTTCCTTAACGCCCTCCCCTGGCCCCCAGCCCTGCTCCCCTCCCCCTCACACCCAGCCTCGGAGGCATCCTCCAGCCACAGTCACTGGGCTGCACTGAAGGGTGCCCGGTTGTGGGTTGTGGAACTCACAGCCATCCCGGGCCTGAGATCCTGGTCCTCCCGTCCTCCCGGCCATGGCGATGGACGGCCGGAGTCCGTCTCCCTCTCTTCCCCAGACCTCTGTGCCCCGTGGGGACTCTGAGACAAGTGGGGAGGCCAAGGGAGAAGTTGTCCAGCTGCCTGGCTCCTCCCCTTAGCCTGTAGCCCCGCCCCAGGTGCAGCCAAAGCCGTGGCGCCCCCTCCCCAGACAGCACCCTCAGGACTTTCCTAAGGGCTGAAGGAGCGCGGTGGCCACTGTGGCCGTTCTGAGGTCAGGGGCTCGGGGATCACAGTTTGTCACCCAGGGGGTGGGATTGCTGCTGTCACTTGGTGAGCAGAGGGCAGGGATGATGCTAAACATCCTTCAGGCCACAGGACAGTGCCCACAAGAATTCCTTTCCCCTAATGTCGGTAGTGTGAGGTCCGGGGGCCCTGACCTAGGTTCATTCACTTCCCTCAATTTTCCATTCTCTCAAATGGGTGTCCGTCTCCTGCCAGACTTGGGTGCCCATCATTTCTGAACGGTTTGGAGACAGGCCTTGGGCTGGGCGGGAGCCTCCCCCACACCCCGGCCCCACACAAGCTTTGGGGATTCCTGCCCAGAGGCACACACAGCTCCCAGCTCCTTGGGAAAAGCCGAGAGTCCAAACGAGGCTCTCGCCGACCCTCTCATGGAGGATCGTCCCACCCCTGCTCGGTTCCACCGTATCAGGAGCCTCCGCACGCTCGTGGGCTCTGTCACTCCATCTCCCCCAAACTTCCCTGGGGCGGGCCTCATACTCATCTCACAGATGGAGACAGGAGCCCAGGCAGTCAGCGTGCCTTGCTCGGTCCTCTCTGTGCTGAACTATCAGCTGTCCCAGCACCACGTGAGCTGGTTCCCCCCATAACTCCCCCTCCCCCACCTCTGTCCTGGCCATGGTCATAAGGTCAGGCAAGGAGAAACCCAGGAGGGCTTCACACAGTAGGGCCGCTTCCTCCTCGGAGGCAGGAGAACGGATAATGATTAGGAACGCATCCTGTCTGAAACGTTGCAGAGGCCCCCGGGCTGGGTGGGGCCTGCTCCTGGGGACGTGGGATGTGACCAGTGGCTTTTCCTTGCCCAGTCCCTGCGGCAGGTGCGGCTGAATGAGATTCTGCTGGATTACTCCCGAGACGCCGCGCTCGTCGTCATGTGAGTAGCGGAGGGGGCCTGGCGCCGAGGCCCAGGCTGGCGGCTTTGGGAGGGTGGCCCCTGCTGGGGACCTGAGCCGCCTTCCCCTGTGAGACGCAAGGGCCCACAGTCTCACCTGAGTGCCTTAAACAGAAGTCTTAACTTCACAGGCTGAAGGTCTTTTTTTTTTTTTTAAGGGTTTATTGGGCCATTGCTAGTAAAACAAAAAAAGGCAGGAGCCGGCCAGCATGGCTCAATGGTTGAGCATTGACCTATGAACCAGGAGGTCATGGTTTCATTCCCAATCAGGGCACATGCCCGGGTTGCGGGGCTCAATCCCCAGTGTGGGGTGTTCAGGAGGCAGCCGCTCCATGATTGTCTCTCATCATCAGTGTTTCTATCTCCCTCTCCCTTCCTCTCTGAAATCAATAAAAATATATTTTAAAAAATAAGGAAGGAAGGAGGAAAGGGAGAAAGAACCAGGTCCTGGGACAGGGGGTCTGAACCCCGAGGCTGCGCCTGGCGGAAAAGCCAGCATGTCCGCTCCTAGAGCTGAGCGTCTTATACACCAAATGGAGGGACAGAGATCTGGGTGGCTCTGAAAGCAGTGAGGTGGCCACAGCGTCCACAGGAAGACGTGTCCGCGCCTGTGGGCTGGCCGGGGGCAGAGACGGGAGAGTCCACGTGTGAATAAGCAGAGGCTCCTGGTGACGGTGGCGCCTGGCGGCTCCCCCTTTTAGGTAAACGTGGACAGAGCTCCTGGCAGTCAGCGGATGTTCCCACACACACGCAGGGCGTGCCGGGCGTCTGTTGGTTTTGCCCGGCAGTTGTTAACCGATCCACCCCTCTCGTCTCCTCCTTCCACCCTCTGGTCTGCGGTCATTTACTTTGCGGCAGCTCACAGCGCAGGATGGTCAGGGCCAGCTGGCCCAGCCCGAGGCCTCAACCATCCCAGGCCTCCCTGCCTCCCCTCACCACTGCTCTTCCCTTCCCTGTTGCCTTTTCCTGCCGAACTCGCCTTGGCAAAGGGGACCCAGGTCATTCCAGAGGGAAATCGATTCCTGCTTGTTTGGGAATCACCCAGCCCTCTTTGGCCGCCGGCCACCCCCAATGGATGTCGGTGCCAAGTCTGGGCAGCAGGAGCAGAGGCCGCCCCAGCCCACTGCCCAGGCTCCGAGCCGGTCAGCCCTCTGGCTTCCGTTGCCGCTGCCTGTCCAGTAACCCACCACCTCTGGTGGGCACTGGCCAGAGCTGAGTAAGTGGGAGGAGACAGTGGCACAGAGAGGGACTCACGGTGGCTTTACTCTCTCGGAGGAAGACGTGGCCAGTGATGCCACTAGAGTCCCCTCCCCGGGAGGCCCAGCTCGGAGGCGAACACCGGCCTTCCTTGCATTTCCGGGGGGCTAGCCCCCTGGGAATCCCGCAGGCCAGCCAGCAGCCTGTGGAACCCATTTTTCCTACCTGAAACCAGGATCAGGGGCCTGATGCAAAATGACAATGTGGGGGCCCTCTGTTCAAAACCCATTCGGAATCTCAGGATGGTGTCAGCGGGCGTTAAACCCAGCGTGAGACCCTTCGAAGTACGGGTTGTGCAAAGGTGCAGTTTGCAGGCCTGGGAAACTGGCTCGCCCCACACTGCCTGGGGCTCTTAGGGAGATGGATTTTTTTGTACAAAGAAAAGGCTTCCTTTAATGAGGAAAGTGCTGGGTTTATCTCCAAGCCTCTGGCCAGTATGTCTCCAGAGAATGTCCCCAGGGCAGGGTTGGCCTGGGAGAAGCCTGGGTCACGGTGCAAGGTGGTGGGACTGGCTTCGTGCTGGGACGGCTCCCCAGCGTCTCCTTGGGTGTGGTAGCTGGTGTGTGACAGCTGGGGTGTGCGGGCATGCCCGCCCCCCCAATGACTGCCACCTCTGTTCAGAGAAGCAGGCTAATACTTGTCTTTGCAATTGGCCCTCCTTCTCTGAGCCTCAGTTTCCCTGATTATAGAAAAGAGTTACCTGTTATGGTTCGAGGTTAATTTGCCACCTGCTGGCACCGCTCCCCTCCTACTCCCCCCTCACCCCCCAAGACCCCACAGGGAAAGCATGCCCTGCCCACCAGCCTCTGTGGGATTAGCCGATACAAAGAACACTGAGTCCAGTCGCCTCAGAGCAGCCGCCTGCACACAGCGTCCCACCCCCGGCGGCAGCTCCAGCTGTTGCCCACAGGGGCCGGCTGTTGGCTGCGGGCTGCTCCTCTGGGACAGCATGTAACTGCATTTTTTGCATCACTAATCTCCAACCCAGACTGCCGCCCCACCTTCAGGGGCCTGGAAAATGGCAAATTCCTCCATTCCTTCCAGAAACCCGCATTCCCCAGAACTTCCGAGGAAACAGAAATTCCCCAAGCCCCAGTAAAATGACAGAATCCCATTTCCCAGCATCCTCAGATGCATGGGCCATGCTCCAGCGAGGGGTGAGGCAGAATCTGGTTGTTTGCTGCTTATAAATCCATCGTTTATCTGATTATGGCTGTGTTTCAGTTCCGCTTAACCTGCACTGAACCACCCTATAACCAGCCCGACCAGCTCTGCCCGGATCGACAACCTTGGGGGTCTAGACCCTTCTTTTTTTCTATAAAGACTCCCTCCTCAAAGCCCAATAGTGATAATCAAAATAATAATCAGCATGCATTGATTGAGCCTGTCAGACACTCAAGGTATTGGGCCTGATTAATTTTCAAAACTCTACGAACTGGCTCTATTTTAATCACCCGCCACACACACACACAGATACACACTCACACACACACAGAGACACACACACGCACACAGACACATACACACAGACACATGCACACACACAGAGACATGCACACACAGACACACACGCACACACAGATACACACACACACAGATACACACACACAGACACACACAGATACACACACACACACGCACACACACTTTGGAGATGAGGACATTGAGCCTCAGAGAAGTTAAGCAACTTGCCTGGGGCCTCACAGCTGTGAAGCGGGGGTTGGGCTGTGAAGCTGCGACACCGGTTCTGAGGCAGGGTCACCGGTTTTGCACGTAGCTGAGGTCCAAGGCTGCCTTTCTTTGTGGCTAAGAGATGCAATTCTGAACAAAAAGCCCCTTGCCCCGGAGTGGCCTTTTTCTAAAGATTAGTAGCTTAACACGCACACATCCTGCCAGCTGGACTGGCGTGTCAGCGACTGGCACTGGCCCCGCAGGAATGAGGGGTGTCCCCCGCCCTGAGACGCAGCCACTGGTCCCCTCCCCTCGTGGCCTTGGAGGTTTCTGAATTTAGTGCCTGAAAATGGTGTGATGGTCCCCAGAGGGCAATTGCAGCCTTTGGCATAATGTAACTCAGGAAGTTCGGTTTCAATATGCCCACTTCCCTTTCCCCAGAGAGTCACCAGTCACAGACTCATTCTAACTAAACGTCCTTGTTCCCCCTGCCTTCCCCAGTCCTGGGGACCTTGCTTTTTAAAAGAGGGTAGTGTCCCAAGTGAAGCTTTATTTTTTATTTTTTTATTGATTTCAGAGAGGAAGGGAGAGAGAGAGAGAGAAACATCAATGATGAGAGAGAATCATTGGTAGGCTGCCTCCTGCACGCCCCACACTGGGGATCGGGCCCACAACCCGAGCATGTGTCCTGACTGGGAGTCGAACCGGGACCTCCTGGTTCATAGGTCAACGCTCAACCACTGAGCCACACCAGCCAGGCCCAAGTGAAGTTTTTGAGGGTGGAGTTTTAAATAAGAGGCAGCTGTTTAGGGGCCTCAATTCGCCTTCTCAGAGAAGTGGGGGTTGCAGGCAGCCGAGGCAGCTGGGGTGGGCGGTCCCAGGACTTTGGGTCAAGTCCCAGCTCCGCCACTCACCAGCTTGGTCAGTAATAACAAGTGTGAGAACAGCTGCTGATGGGATGAGCCGCTGGCGAGGGGCCCTCCGTGTGCTCGTCTTCCTCGGGGCTCACAGACACCCCAGGAGGGAGCTGTGTGTGTCCTCGCTCGAGGGCAGAGAACGCGGCTCGGGCAGCGAGCCATCTGTTAAAGCCACATGGCTGATGGCGTGACAACGCCACGACTCAGAAGGCTTCTCTGACGCCAGCGTCACGCGGCCCCATCCTTTCTGCCCCGTGTCCCCAGCTGCGGGCCCTGCTTTCTCCCCAGGGTTGTTTTGAGGTTCAGCTGAAATAAAACCTGCAGGTGTGCAGTCCCACGTACGGTGCTGGGGCCCCCACTTCCTGTAACCCAGCTGGCTCTGTGAGACGCCGGCTTCTCCCAGCGCAGAGAGCAGGGCAGCTGTGGCACCACGATGCCTTTTTGGAATCCCAAGACGGTAAAAGAGTCACTGCCTGAAACAGCCATGAGAATATGGCTGACCAGCCTCCTTGAGCAGCGAGTTATTTGCGCAGCTTGGAAGTTGGGACCAGGGGCCCTCCCAGGGCGAGGGCGGAGACCTGCTCCCAGGGCCTCACCTATAGGGCAGGACAAGGACACAAGTGTGAAGGTGTCATGTTGTGGCCACAGTCAGGCCTGATTGGAGTGGCCTGAGGGGTGGGATCATCCCAACGGATCCGACCATGTTCTGGGCGCAGGAGAAAGGGTAGTGAATAGGACAGACCCGCCTGAGTGAATGGATGAGTGAGCATCCATTCTATTGCGGGGAGACAGACAATGAATGAATGAATGAATGAATGAATGAATGAAAAGAGGGTTTTGAGAGTGTAAGGTGCTGTGGAGACAATGACACAGGATGATGTGAGAGAGATGGGAGACCTGCTCTGTAGAGGGTCGGGGGAGGGGGCTGACCAGGGAAGCAGGTGCACTTGAGCCAGGATCTAAATGATTCAAAGGAGTCAACCAGATAAAGAGCTGGGGGCGCTGCCTGCCAGGTGGAGAGAGCAGCAGGTGCAAAGGCCCTGGGGCAGGAGCAAGCTTGCTATTTTGTCCAGGGGTGATCAGAAAGCCGCCATGCTCTAGGGCTGTGAGCAAGGCTGAGGATGGGAGCAGGTAAGATCCGGGAGGCTGGTGGGGACCAGATCGTGGTGCCTTACAGGCCATGGCTTCGTTCAGAAATGCTCCATGGCCAGAAGTACACTTAGAGTCCTGCTTCTAGGGAGGGTGACAGGTCACTCTGGGGTGGCCGGGAAGAAGGGCTTGGAAGGGGTCACTAAACAGAGTTGCCGCTCAGAAAGCCAACCGCGAGCTGGGCCGCGTGCGGAAGGCCCCTGGGTCATTCCTCGTCTGCCTTTCCCCTGCCCCCCAGCACCTTGCCCATCGGGAGGAAGGGGAAGTGCCCGAGTTCGCTGTACATGGCCTGGCTGGAGACGCTGTCCCAGGACCTCCGCCCGCCCGTCATCCTGATCCGAGGGAACCAGGAGAACGTGCTCACCTTCTACTGCCAGTAACGCCAAGCGTGGCCACGCCTGCCCGAGGCCGAGGGCGCATCCCCTGGGATACCCGCGCTCCGTCCCGCCCCAGGATCTGACTGAAGAGGCTGCAGGTTTCCAAACTTTGGCCGGACCCCACTCCCCTCGGACCTGTCCTCCGGGCTTGGTTTTATGGGCTGGAGAAGGAGCCTTGGAAGCTGGGTGAAAAGTTCTCTGGTGGATCCATCGTCCTTTTAAGTTCTTCTGATTTTGATGGCAGCAATTAAGATTTCAGTCTTTGATTGGTAGACAAGTTTGAGTCAGAGTGTTGGCTGTTTGTACAGACGTTCCCGTGCCTGCCTCCTGCAAGGTCAGGAGAAAGTGCGCCCCACATACACACCCCTGTCGCCCTCACGAGGGATGCAGGGCTCCGGAACCTCCATACTCATGCAAATTTCTCCTAACCACCTCTCACCCCTGCGCTTTCAATAATAGTGCGTCTTCGGTGTTTTGCCTGCTTCGCTGGGAGCCCAGGGACTTTCAAACTGTTCAGGCTGCAGCCCACAGTGAGGGATAGATTTTACGTCGAGCCTTGGAACAGACACACTCATCGTTATCCTCACTC